GAAGGAAGGAAGGAAGGAAGGAAGGAAGGAAGGAAGGAAGGGAGAGAGGGAGGGAGGGAGGGAGGGAGGGAGGGAGTGAGGGAGGGATGGTTGGGGAAGAGCTGAAGACCTGAGATTTGGGGGGACATATAAAGAGAAAGGGAGACAATCTGGGGAGTAGGTCTTCTAAGGAGCAGAAGTCAATTCTGCAGCCACAACACAGACTCTGCTCCAATGGTCTCCCCATTTCTAAGCTGACCCTTGCTCAGGTGACCCCATCTTCAGAGAACACAGGTCCTGCACACCCCCTCCAAGAAGCCCATGCAGGTGCCCACTGATGGGTGTCCACAGGGCCAGGCTGGATATCCTTGTGTGGCTTTTCCCTCTGTTCTTTGGTCTCCTCTTTTGCCTGTGGAGGGGGATAACGCTTCAATAAGTCACTCCAAATCCCCATCTCTGGGCTGTTCTCGTTATATCTACTTGCATGGACAATGAACCTGCAGACAGAGACGCATTCATCGGGGGAGGATCCTGCCTGCTGTCCCCCAGGAGGAGAGGCAGGGTTCTTCTGGCTCACTCAGAGAGGGTACAGAGAGGACACACAGGGGGTGAGCGAGGGATCGCCTGTAGTCTCGGCCTCCCTTTGCAGGGCATTTGCAAGCTTGTCCTTTGTTCCTGGGCACAGGCATAGCTACAGCTGAGGAGGGAAGAGGATCCAGAAGAGGTGAGGAAGGAAGGAGGAGAGGGAGAAGGAGGGAAGACAGACAGACAGACAGATAATGGACAGAGAGCACACTGTATCACACAGGAGCTAGATGGCAGCCTGAGTTCTAGGAAGGTGGGTATCCCGGACAGGGAGACCCAAGGCTGGAGGACTGAGGTTCAGGACCCCTGAGCCTTCTTCCCACCATCAGCCCTTCTCTTATTCCAACAGCCTAGGGGGAAGTGACGGGAGGAGGCAGCTACAGGACAGACTAAAGAGATGATATGTCTTTATTCTCAGAAGACTGAGCATTACTGTAAGAACTCTTCTGGGCTGGGCTAGAATTTAGCCAGATGTTTTTTGTTTTCTTCCTCTTATATGCCTATGCTGTGCTGACTCTCAGCCAAGTAAATCTCTTTTCCCTTTAAGGTAGCCTGCCTCTGGTACCTTGTTATAGCAACACAAGCTGATGAAGACAGGACTTAACTGAAGGGAAAGTACCTTGCCCAGTACCTACCCAGCTGAACTCCTTCACCATTTCTTTTATAAGACATCTAGATGGAGCTGGCTTAAAACTTAAGATGCAATTGACTCCAACAGTCCCTGTCAGTCCTTCTGGGCAGGTGGGGGTCTTCCTGTTAGCTAGGCTGGGCTCTTGCTCCAACCTCTGATGCACACTGAGTTTGTTTTACTAGTCCTGGGACTTGAACTTCAGCACTGTTCCCGAGCTTCTTTTGATCAAGGCTAGCTCTCTACCACTTCTAGTTTTTTGGAGTTTAGTGGAGATAAGAGTCTCACAAGACTTTCCTGCCGAGGCTGACTTCAATCTGCCATCTTCAGATCTCAGCCTCCTAAGTAGCTAGGATGACCAGTACGAGCCACCAGCAACTGGCTCTAAGTTTGTTTTTTCCTAAGAGTCTGGCACTGTCACTATTTCCCCCCCGCCTTTCCTTCTGATTATCCCTCTGGATTTATTTCCGTCCTACACGGCTCTTTCCTCTTCCACTCTGATTTCTTTTTCATGTGTGTGCTCAGGTATTTTTTTTTTTTTTTCTTGAGGAGTATTGGTGAGGTGAGCTTCCAGAACTCTCTGCCCGTCTAAGGTGTTTCCTTTGCACTCACCCACGATTGGTTGTTTAGTTGAATACAGGGGTGGAAGTTTAACGTGAATTTCTCTTGCATTCTCTGGGAGAACATCCTTCATTGTTTTTTAGTTCCAATATTGCTGCAGTGAGTGCTCAGGATGCCCAGCGCGCTCTCTGCCCAGAGAGGATTTCCAGTCTTCTCACTATCTACTCACTTTTTCTTTCCAAAACTTTCAGGAGGCTTTTTGTAATACAAGCTGCATACTTTTGTTTTGAAACAGGGTCTTGGTGTGTGGCCCAGGCTGGCCTTGAATTCCTGGGCTCAAGTAATCTTCTTACTTCTACCTCTTGGGTAGCTGGAATTATAGGCATATACCACTGTGCCCAGCCCTCTCCTGTATTGGAATTCTAAAAGGGCACTGCTCTTTCTGAACTCATCTTTTAGGTCTCAGCTTTTCCCTCTTCTTTCTGAGTTTTATATGGCTTTTGACCTTCAAAAAACATATTCCCACTTCTTTATTGAATTGATTTTAATTTATCCTAATAATTGGCTTTTTGGGGCAATACTGGGCTTTGAACTCAGAATCTCATGCTAGCTTGGCAGGGGCTCTACCACTTTAGCCATACCTCCCAGCCCTTTTTTTGCTTTTAGGGTTTTGTTCCATTCTTATAGGTAGGGGCTATATATTTGTGCTATATATTTCTTCTACTGACAGCCTCCCATGTAGCTGGGATGACAAGAGTGAACCCTCTGGGAAGCTCATTGATTGAGATGAGATCTCTGTTTGTCTGGGCTGGCCTTCTGGTCTCTCTTCCTGCAGAACTGAGATTACAGGTATAAACTACTGCACCTAGCAGCAATTGTATTTTAACTTCCACAATCTGGTCCTATATCCAGGCAGCATATTCCACAGCAACCCAGCTTGCTGGTGGGTGTGACCTGATGTGATCTCCATGGATCCTCCTTAGAGGGGTTTGGGGGTCGCCGTATATCCTCCCTTTCCAATCTCCCTCCTAGCTGTTCCTCTGAGCGACATTTTTTCCAGATGCTGACTGCTATCTGCCTCCTCGTGGGGTATTAGGGGCAGACAAGGGACTCCTCTCCCGCGGGTCGCCTTCCCTGCCCCCTTCCTTCTGGGCACCCCTCCAAGTGAGATAGGAACAGAATGGACACCATGCATTTAGAAACTTTATGGCACTTTTGACACTGCAGTAATCACCAAGCATGAACAGCTGGCTTCTATCTCCACCATCTTTTTTTATATAAATCCTATTTTCTAGTAATTAATTTTTATTATATTTTACAGAAGAATCAGTCCGTAACAGATTAGACTTTTTTTTTTTTGGTTGTGGGGCTTGAACTCTGGGCCTGGGCGCTGTTCCTCAGCTCTTCAGCTCAAGGCTAGCGCTCTACCACTTGTGCCACAGCACCACGTCCAATTTTCTAGTGGTTTATTGGAGATAAGAGTCTCACAGGACATTCCTACCCAGGCTGGTTTTGAACCGCAATTCTCAGATCTCAGCCTCCTATGTAGCTAGGATTACAGGTGTGAGCCACCAGAGCCTGGCTTAGACATTAAAAAATTTTTTTCTTATTATTTTTGAGACAAGGTCTTGCTATGCAGTCCAGGCTGGCCTTGAACTTTTCATCTTACCTCCAGCTCCTGACTGCTGGGGTGACAGGGCTGGAAGCTTCCTCACTGAAGACACTTCTGGAAGCACTGTATTAGGGAAGAGGGCAGGAAGCAATCTTGCTTCTCCATCCCAAGTGGCCCTCCTCCTCACCCCAGGCTTCCCCGTGCTCCTAAGATCTGGCTTCAGTTTATCTTCTCATGGAGCTGTTCATGAATAGACTTGTTTTTCCCTCTACCTGCTGGATTCAAGAAAGACAGGAAGGAGAGGTGAGAGTGGTAAACAGAGGCAGAGGAGAGTAAGAGTCTCTGGGGCCTGACCTCCCCCCAAGTACTGAGGAGTTGCAGGTAGACAACTAGAAGCAAGACAAGTGGTCATGTCCACTGCTGCATACAGATTTTTAAAAGTTTGGGGCATGGTGGGGTGGACCCCACCGCGGTGCCCAGCCTTGAACCTGGGAGCTCCGTTCCCAGAGCCCCATCCAGATGGGTGAGCGCACAGGCCAGGCCCTGGAGCACCTGGGGGCCGATCTGAAGGTGGGAGGAGGGACACATGGGAAAAGCCAGGACACCAGAAATCACCACTTCGCTCACCAGGCTAGGCCGATCAGGAGCATGGGCAGTGGGGTGCGGGGTGCCCGTCCCGGGAAGTGTCCCAGAGGGATGACAGGATTGGGGGGGGCTTCCAGAATAAAGCTTGAGGGGTGTGGAGGAAGGAACTCGGGGTATAGGAGTCCCCCCTCACCAAGTGCCCGAGGAAAGATGGCGTCTGGGATCTTCCTAGACTGTAGCCATCCATCAGGGCCCCAAGAACCTAGAAAGGAGTTCCCAAACTCTGTCAACCAGGCTGGGGCCGGGCCGGGCCTCATCCCACCCGACCTGGGGGCAGGTGGCAGGCCCACCCGGGGCCCCCACATCCAGGGCCCGCTGGTCCTTCAGCCCCCCCAAGCCGGGGACCAGAGCCTTGCCCTGCCCCCCCCTCTAACCTTTTGCTTTTTTTGAAGTCTCACTTCCTGTCGGGTTTTGCATTTCCCTCCCCCGCCCCTCCCGGCTCCTCATGACACACTTTCTCTCGGGGCCTCCAGGCCAGGCCTTGTGCAGCCCCCTGCGGCCTCGCAGCCCCGGGGCGGGCGGCAGCCCACGGTGCGGCCCCCCAGGCCTGCGTGGAGGAGGCTGCGCCCGAACCCACGGAGCGCCGGAGGATGAACACCCCAAGTAAGCTCTGCGGGGCTGGGGTGGCGGGAGGGAGGTGCAGGGGAGAGGGAGGATGGGGTACAGGGAGGGGCTAGGCCGGGGAGGGGGCCCCCCAGGAGCGGGGCGGGGGGGGCTGGGGCTGCGCGGGGCTCCCCTCCCACCAGCCCCCCCATCTTCCCTCCTCCCCTCGCCCGCCCCCCTCATGGGAGTCTCACGTTGCCCCTCACCGCAGGCAAAGAGGAAGGGGGCGGCGAGTGGGGGGCCAGGGGCTGGGCCGCGGGTGCGGGGCGTCCCGGGCGCCCCCTCCCAGGGAGGAGTGCAACCTTGGGGACACCTGCGGGGCCGGAAGTCTGCAGCCAGGATGACTCCCGACGATGCGGCTGCTGTCGGGCCTGGAGGCCCCCCGAGGTGGGGTGCTGGAGGCACAGGACGCCCCGCGGGGGCCGAGGGGCGCCAGGGGGCGACCCGCGGGCCCGAGCCGCCCGGGCTCCCCGCCGGGGTTCCGGCCCGGCTGACTTCCGGGGCGCTCAGCATCCGCCGAACCGCCCAGCCTCGGTCTTGAACCCGCGGCCGGCCTCAGCCTGTGCGCGCCTCGATGCGTGCCGGAAATCCCGGACCCGGGAATGCGGTGGAGAGCAGGAATGGAGCCCCGAGCCCTCCGGCTGTGCTGGGTGTCCAACCCTCCGCAACCCTTTGCACCGGTGTGGGTGTGGCTCCGTGCGGGAGTCACAGGGGCAGGCTAGCACCGCATACAAGCTCCTGCAGGAGAAATGGATGCCCTGGCACTGCCCAGGCAGCCACCATATGCCTCTAGAACTTTCCTCTTCCCAAACTGGAACCCTGTGCCTTCCCTCCCCTCCCCCATTGCATTCCACCTTTCCCTCCCCCACCCGGCTCCCCCCCACCCATGAGCCGTCTGTGCACCTGAGGCCTCGTCTAGCTGTGTCGCTGGACTTTTGACTTTTGACCTCTGGTGTCTGTGTTACCTCACCCAGCTTCAGGTCACCCTTGCCCCATCCAGGCTGTAGTCTGGATGGGCTCTTCACTCTTTTTTCCGAGCTGAATAGTAATTGGCTGTACCCAAGGCTGAGATGTATGCAAACCAGAGACTAGATGACAAGGAGCTATTTCCTTCATTTACCAAAAACAAACAAACAAAAAACAACAACAAAAAAACCCTTGTAAATCAGTGAGACACCACTGATTTGTCTGAAAGGTCCTAATAGTGAATGTTTTAGATTTGGTGAGCCATCTGGTCTCTGTTGAAGTGATTCAGCTCCAGGAGCCAGAGATGAAGGAGGGAAGGTGGCCACCAGATCAGGCCTTGGTGGTGCTTTACCCACCCTTGAACTGGAGAAATCACCCCAGAGGAAAAATGGCTAATGGGTAGAAGTAAGCAAAGAGAACCAGAGCAGACCATCCAGCTTCTGACATTATAGTTAAATCAACAGGAAGTGGAGGGGGGGGGGCTCCAAAACAACAACAACTAGATGAGACTTAATGTGAGGGGAATGGACCACAGGCATATTCCATGCTAAGCATTGTCTACCAGCCAGATACCTGGATCAGTCCTCCAGCAGGTGCCTTCTGCCTCCAAGTAAGTACCTACAGAAGCCAAGCAGGGCTGGGAGGCAGAGACTGGGAAGATCACAGGTTGAGGCCAACCAGGACAAAATGTTCTCTAGACCCTATGTCAACCAGTAGCCAGGCATGGCGGCGTGTCCCTTTCATTCCTGTTGCATGGGAAGCACAAATGGGAAGATGTCAGTCTCAGACTGGTGGAAGTGTGGGGGGGAGTGCAAGGCCCTATCCCCCAAATAACCAAAACAAAAATGCCTAGAGGTGTGGCTCAAGTGGTAGAGCACCTGCCTAGCAGCATGAGATCCTGAGTTCAAACCTTGGGCCTAGCAAAACAAATACATAAGTGAAGGGAGAGCCTGTCTCACAGACAGAATGCCACGGACACCCCAGGATTTGTGCATGCAGCTGTTCATTCCAGCATTGATTTCCCCAGGGCAAAAGTCTAGCTAAAGTGGGTTTAAGATGGAAGGACAGGAGAACACTCAGGGACAATCTCCCAACCCAGCAGCCAACACCTGGACTGGACATCCCCTGCCCACCCCTCCCCTTGAACCTGAGGCTTAGACAGCCAGCTGTCTTACCTGGACATGGAATAATCCAGAAACTCAACTTGTGCTTTCATCTGAAGCTTTCTTCCTCACCATCCTGCCAGTTGGTCCGGCCAAAGCTCTCTGGAGCAGACTTTGAGACCTCATCATTTGTCCACTTGTTCGGCACGGAAAAACCAATTTCTCTGTGGAGGTGATGATGGATGACATTTGCTTGCCTCGTTAATGCGTCTCTTAGTGGAGAAAAAGTATTCCATTTGCAGCTGGTGGGGAAGAGACCACAGGGCTAGAAAGGGAATTGGGCTTTCTCATTGGACAGCCTTGGCCTAGTCCTTTCTCCTTTTAGGGACTCAGTTTCCCCCTGTGCCAAGGAAGAAGATTAGAGAGGGTTTGAGATGGCAGATGGAATTCATATGTAAGCCAATCCCAATCAACTAGTAATGGCTGGGACACTGAAGAATACAAGCTTGGGGTGGAGTAGAGGGTACAGTTCTGTCATCAATTGCCAATGTCTGCCATGGTGTAAAACTCACAATTGAAGCCTGGTTCCCACCCACCCCCATTAGTCATCCCTGCATGACTGAGACCCCGTCCAGCTTCAGAAATCCACAATGACCTTGTGACTTTCAGCTGTGCACTCCCCCGCCCTCCCCAAGATTGCATTTCTTCGGGAACTAGATAGAGACAAATAAACCCTGCCTCTTGCACAAAATTGCTCTGAGGAGCTCAGGAGATGCTTGGTTGAAAAATGGAGCAGAAAATAACAAAGCCTTCTGAGGAGGGGTGGTGAGGTTTATTAATGGACTCTCCAGTCAGTGCTCCTTCCAGCTTGTCTGGGCTTTGACCTTTGGTGCCTCTGTGTGACTTTCCCCCAGAGACCCAGCAGGACAGGTCTGCTTGATTTTCCCTCTCTCTCCCCCCCCCTTCTTCCTCCTCTTTTTCTTGCCAGTATCAAGGCTTCAGCTCAGGAGCTCAGGGCCTTGCATTTGCTCAGCTTGTTTGTTTGACTGGTGCTTTTCTACTTGAGCCACACCTCTAGTCCAGCATTTTGCTGACTACTTTGGTGTCCTCTGCCTGGACTAGCTTTGAACTTCCATTCTTTCATCTTGGCCTGTGATGCTGTATTATAGCAGCATAAGCTGGACTAAGAACCCATGGCTGCATCCATTTAACACCTGTCCAGCATCTAGCACACACACTGGACCCCTCTGCTGTCTGCCACAAGCCAGCACGGCTGCTATAAGTGGTGCTCAGGTGAAGATGGACAGACCAGTACACAGAAGTAGTTAGCGAAGGCCCGCACAGAGGATGGCCCTGCAGTGAGTTCTGGGCAGAGAGCCAGCAAGGACAGAGGTGGCTGCACAGCCCTGTTCACGGCTGCACTATTTTCCCCAGACAAGCCACAGAAACAGCCAGATCCCTACAGACTCTTATCCCCAATTAATCACCAGAAAACCGGAAGTGGTGTTGTAGCTCAAAGTGGCAGAGCACTAGCCTTGAGCAGAAAAGCTCAGGGATGGTGCCCAGGCCCTGAGTTCAAGCCCCACAACTGACGAAAGAAAGAGAAAAAAAGAGAAAGGAAGGAAGGAAGCAAGCAAGCAAGAAAGGAAGGAGAAAGGAAGAAGAAGAGGAGGAGGAGGAAGGAAGGAAGGAAATATGGTGTATATACACACAAAGGAATTTTATTCCTCCATTAGGAAGGATAATATTACGTCATTTACAGGGAAATGGATGGACCTGGAAAAAATTATGCTGAGTGAAGTAAGTTAGGCATCCTGTCCTGTAGAAGTGAGAGCAGACAGAGAAAACTCCATGAAGACACACGCAGGAGCATGTGCATGTGACATACAGATTGACGAAAGGATGGGCACCCAGAGGTATCTGGGGCTTGAACTCAGGACCTGGGCGCTGTTCCTGAGCTTTTGTGCTCAAGGGTAAGATCTACCACTTGAGCCACAGCACCACTTCTGGCTCTTTTTTTTTTTTTTGGTTGCTAATTGGAGATAAGAATGTCATGGACTTTCCTGCCTGGGCTGGCTTCAAACCATGGTTCCCCAGGTATCTGCCTCCTGTGTAGCTAGGATGACTGGTGTGAGCTACTCACGCCCAGCAAATGAACATTTTAGCGAAATGAGCAACTGGAAATTGAAATACGCCTGCATGGGTTGATGGGACCCAGGAGAGGGAGTGGAAGGGCGGTGGGCAAAGGCTGTCCTAATATTCAATGTGCACAGGGGAGATGGAGCCAGCCAACTTGGGGGGATGGAAGAAATGGGGAGAACAGTGAAAGCAGGGACCCTAGCAAGATGCGGTGCACCTCAAAACCTGACACATTGAATTGCAACACCTTTGTACAACTAAATGAAGAAAGCTTTAATTAAATAAAGAGAGAGAAAGAGAGAGCAGGAATATAAGAGGTTTTTGCCATGCAGATAAGAGGGTGAATGGGTGTGGGGCTCATGTCCGGTGCTGGACTGTGGGGGAATGGGGAGTGGGAGAGGGGACCACCAAGAGCCCCGGATGCTGTGGCAGGATGGATAGGTGCTGTCTCAGGAGCAAGGCTGGGTGTCTGCGCAACTGAGCTGAGTCACTAGCCAAGGCAGAGGTCCCAACTGTTGAATTGTTGTAGCTCTTAACATATGTTGTGCACAGAGAAGATGGACCCCTCTGGGCAAGAGGCCAGCCTGCATTCAACAGGACGAGGGCACCAAAAAACTTGTTTATTGGAAATACAAGCTTCATTGAGTGTCCTATGTTTTCTCACATAGCTTAGACCTCTGGGTTACTTGTAGCAGCAGGTCATATTTGTTGTTGCTGGTAGTTCATTGTACAAGTATTCTATGTTTCATTTATATGTCTAGTGGTGGATATTTAAATTGTTTCTTTTTCTTT